TGGGAAAAGTGGGAAGTCGATTTGGGCAATACATTTCAAAAGGGATTCTACCTAGAGGATTGATTATTTTGTGGTTCGATCGATTAGTGTCTGTTTTATTGGATAAGGAGATAACAGCATCATAATAGGTCGATTCTAATTTCAGTGGGTTGTAACATATTTGATAAAAATTCTCGAATCGAGATATTTGAAGACAGTGGAAGTGTGTACCTTTCTTCGCTTTCGATTTGTCCTGCAATACAAGAGAAGGATGAGCAGTCAATTTTTGTCGAACCTCGTCAAAAGCAGAATGGTTACTCGAGAACCAATCGGCCCACCATTGAGAGAAACCCACAGTTGATAAAAAATTTAACTCAAAAACATAGGGATAAAAATGTAGTGGGATTTGTGGTAGTAATTTAGCCAACTCCCGTCCGATTGTCGACTCATTTAACTTGGACTTTGGGAAGGGATCGAGGGGGAAGAAAGGTAAAGATTGGCTCAAACTAAATTGTCTCGAAAAAAGTTGTGGGTAGTAAGGGATGAACCTAAAATCCTTCGACTGGAAACCCGATACTAACACATCCTGAGTCAAATAATTACTCCATACATCTACCAACTCTGATTGTAACCCAGGTGTTAAGGCAGGAAATTTCGATGTAAACCAGGTTGGCCCTCGAAGTTGATCACTGATTTGTCCAAGATGCGCAGCAAAAGGAGCCAAAGTCGAATCAAAGCGAAGCCTAGTTAACAAAAATTTTAGATATCTACAGTAAGTCGCTTCGTCGGGTTTGTGGTGAGGATGGCGAAAAGATAATCGAACACCTTCTATATTTACACTCGGGGGGATGGTAGAAGTCGGGGGAAGGATGCTCTCAAAAATCGAGTTAAGCCACAGTTGTATAAACCAGATAGGGCCAGAAAAATTTCCCGAAGCTTTGGAGGCACTCAAAATCTCGACGCCTTCATCAAAGGTAGTATATACATGGGCTAACAAAAATTTGGCTAAACTTATTCTAGGTTGACCTATATGAAGAAGATAGGCAAGGTCATAGAAGTGGGAGGAAATTTGGATAGATCGAGGGCAGAAAACATGGGTACATAACCAGTACACCAAAAAAGCTATGTGTTCTTCATCAATAATAACGACCGATTCGTCACCGACAAAATGCTTCTCGAGGAAATGTCCGTAGGCCTTCGATTCCCAATCGATTTTAGACCTTAAAGAACTATTCGAGGGACATGCACCCTTAAAATATCTTTCCCCCGAAGGTTTTAAACCAGTGATAGCAGCAACCTCGAACAGAGTGGGTGAAAGAGGACCGCAAGGTAATTCCAAAGCATGTATTTCCTTATTCCATAAATGAACAGCAGATAAAAACATGGTCATATCCAAATGAGATAGGTCACATCGAGACAAGTGCAAGAAGTCGTAAATCCCCACGGCTCTCCAATGATTCCCGAATTTAGTCTTAACTCTATCGAACCATCTAATGTATAAAGGTTTTTTGGAAGGAGGGCCAGTTCGATATACTCTATAAGTAAGATTCAAAAAATCAACCCTAACTTGAGATTGGTGGACAAGAGCTGGGCTGTTTGGGGAAAGGTTAAGGGAAGATCCGCCATGAGAATGGATAGGGCCCCCAAAAGCAAAATTAACACCATCAGCAGTGTAAGGGATGAGTACCTGCGTCTCAGCGATTTTCTGAGAAGCCTCCTCCATCAGAGGGACTGGAGCAAACTTCTGGTTATTTATCTCCAGAAGGGGAGCCGTTAGCGAAGGGAGAGGTGGAGCCGAAAAATCAGAAGACTTAAATGAGGTTGCCATTCTAGTAAGCTGAGGAAATCAGGAGGATAGAGGTTAAAAGGTGAGGTAGCAAGGACGAATATAAGAGCTCAAGGAGGAAGACGAAGTTGCAAAGAGGTAAAAGTTCGCGTAAAAAACTAAAGTAAAAAACCAATAGAGAGTTTAAAGGGAAAATAACCTAGGGGGCTAGAAACGACGGAGGTGAAAGGTAATTAATGTAGCGTGTACAGTAAGACAGCAGACTGACGCGATGGTGACATAAAGCAAAAGGAAACTTGAAAACCCTGTAAACCCTAGAACCCCAAAAACCCTAAACCCTAAGTTTTGTGGGCCTCTAACAAGCAAAGGCGGGAATCATGTTGAAAGAATATAAACAGAAACTATTTATATTCTTCCAAGGGGGCATTTTGTTAGTAGAAAAATCGAGAAAAGCGATCGAAAAATGAAGGAAAGAAAAATCGAGAAACATGTGATTGATCGGTAAAGCAAAAGGGTGGATGAACAAACATTCGATGTCCAATTAGAAGGGCATGGCACATAAAATCGAAAGTTAGAGTCGGAATCGAAGAAATAATAGTCAAGTTTTATTGTGAAACAAACCAAGAAAGTAGAAGTATACGATGCTAAGGTTAAAAGGAATCAAAAGTAATCCAAAGTTCTCGATAAAATCGAAGTCTAAATCGAAAGAAAGGTTAACCCGCATAAATATCAAAATCGTGGCCAGATCATAAAGAGAAGGAGTTAAACACGCACATAGGAAACAGTTTCTAAATCGTGGCAAAGGTTGAAAATCATGGGAACGTGGGTGCAGTTTTGACACCACAGAAGAAGAAACTGCAACGCGCACGAAGAACGTGGTAGCAGTTTTGTTAACTACTCCTGGAAGGCTTGAATGATGCCCTATAAATAGAGCAGAGGAGGAAGGAATAGGGGGGCAGAAAATTGGCAGAGAACAGAATCAGTAGTGAGAAGTCTACCGGAAAATGACGAACACCATGAAGCTTCTGGCAATCTGGATTTCAATGCTCATCGAGTACCTTTACCGCTTTCTTTACTTTCCTTGGTAATTTGTTTTGATGCACCCTATATTCAACAATTTTATGTTTTACTTTCGATTCTCTGTCATTTCAATTCAAGCAAAGTTAAGTTTCTGTGTTTAAGTTTCCTTGTCCCTTAACATTAATGCAATTTCGATTTCCAGTATATTTCTTGCTATTTTGATTCCTTGCTATTTACATTTCTGTTCTTTCGATTTCTTGTCATTTACATTTAATGTACTGTTAAGGTTTCTGCATTTTACTAGTTTCAACAATTTAATATTCTGTATTGTTTTTCTATTCGACATTTCATTGCTTTCTGCATCTTAAATATAAAACATCAAAAAGTAGCATTTTCGATACTTGGTAAGATTCGATCCTCATATGCATTTCGATTGAAGATTAATTTGCTAACCTAAGTAAAAAGAACTTACGTGATAGAATTTTGGTTAGTATCAAAGTATCTCGGAAGTCGAAATCGATCAAAATTCCACCAGAAGTTAATAGTATTAATTTTGGTCAAAATTATTTAAAAGTGATGTGATTTGTATTTGATTAAGAACGTTGAAAGGGGTTTTTCAGAAAAATAGTTAAGAAAATACAAAAATAATAATGAGAGATTAGTAGTTTAACCTTTATACAATATTTATTCAGTTTAATTGATTATTAAAAAATAATTTATTTCTTCAGTTAAATTATTTATTTTATCAACAAGAAAAATACTATCATAACTGATTAAAAAAAAGCTGCTAAAATTTATCGTCGTGAAAAACCGCTACAATTGTTAACTAAAAGAAATAAAAAAATTAAACAACAAAATATTATTATAAAAAAAGTGGACTTATTTGATTGAATGAAAAAAAAACTAAAACGTTTATTATAATATTGTAAAATTTAATAATTAATAATTTGTGGATAATTAAAAAAGCGTGGAAATTGCGGTAATTGAAAACGAAGAGCATTTGCTTAATAATGAAATAATAACCCTTGAGAAAAGAGTAACACAAACGAGGGATATTGTTGATGAGAGAGAGAGAGAGAATGCGGCACTTGAGTAAATGGTAGGGTCATTAGCATGGTTTGTTACCACACGCAATATTCATACTCTCTTTAAAGCTTCTTTCACCAATCTCACTACCTCATCCCATCATAAAAGGAAATATGCTACAAAATTAAAACAACTCAAGGGTCAAAAACTACATTTAATAATTTTAATTCTTTTTCAACACTTTTATGTCCCCATCTTCTCTGGTTCACAAATCACATGATATATTGAGGTCATTGAACCGATATTTTTCTTGTTAATATAATATCATAAGATTTGAGGACTGAAAACAAGGAGTAAATAGAAACAAATAAATAAGGACAATATTTTTAAGGTAATGAATGATTTATTTTAATAACTTCTTTTTAGATATTTATCTCCATGACGCAAACAAAAATAATTGTAAGTGCTTTTTGGACTTGTCCTATTGCCCTCAATTAATTGTATTAATTAAGAATAGTTATAATTAAACAAAAATATAGTTGTGGTAAGACATTAAATTCATCAAATACTATTTGTATAAATTTTGTTTGCACAGCACAATCCATATAGCTTATACAAAATCCGTGGTTAAATTTAGATTCTTAATTAAAAATGGGATCACGTGAGCAGTACATCATTATTCAGCACCAACATCGTCTTCAAAAAGAACTTCCATTCCCATGATACTAATAGAAATAGTTCCAACATTTTAAAAGAAAATAATAAAAAGGGTAAGTAATATTTGGAGGCTAGAAAACAATTACAAACAGGAGCAGCATTGTTTGTGTCACTGTCGGATTTCTCGTGATTGTCATTCACTTCTATAATCCATGGCCACCAACCTAACAAACAAAAAGTAACTTAGAATTCACCAAAAATAAATCAAAAGTGTAAATAATAAATAAACAAATCCTCTAATATCCACTTGGAGGAAGGATGGTCGTCCTTCATGCATCAGTCCCCCACTGTACACACATACCCCTTATACGTGAAGTCAATATTATATTTTCCTTTCGCTCAAGCAACAATTCAATCACCAAAATACCCCTTCCACCTCGAACTATTTCACCCAACTCACAGGGGTAATTACGTCAATTCAACCATAGAAAAAACTCTCCTCACGTCTGCCTCACGTGACTTCCAATCCAACCTACGACGCTTGCGGCAAAGGAAACGACGTCGCTACAGCAACGCTGCTGTGATCCTTGCAACTCAATGCCTTCAGTATTCTCCACGACAACTTCCCGGGGCTCCGATTCACGGCCACCTTCTCCGCCGCCATAAACATTGTACTCGACGGGTTCCGGCGAACCTGCCGGTTCTTCATGTCGCTCAGTTCCATCTCCGGCGGCACCTTGATCGTCCCGAACATCAGAGAGTACCAGCGCGGCTTCGTCGCCTTCTTCACCGCAACCTCCGGCGGCGCACCGTTCCTGACGGAGGAATTCCGGTCAACCTCCGGGGCGGAGGACTCTCGCAGCCTGCTGTAATCCAAGCTCTTGCTGTTCCTCATCATGAAGCGGCGAGAGCCGGTGCACGCGCTGACACTGTTCGATCGCGTCACGGAGGAGAGAGACTCCGATCGCCGGCGGCGCGCGGCCGATTTATCCTCTTCCACGATGAGGTTTTTGAGCGGAACGAGTTTGCCGCAGAAAATGATGTCATCGGCGGGGCACATGTCGGAGCTGCTGCTGCTGCTGAAGCCGTTGAAAATCTCTCCATCGTGATCGTCTAAGGACGACGGTCGGAGAATTTTCTTATACGACGTTTCGTCCAAGCTTGGAGTTCTCGAATTGCGGTTAAGTGGAAGGTCACAGAGCGATAGTGCCTCCTCTTGCTCTTCTTCTTCTTCTTTATCTTCATCTTCTCGAGATTCCATGTATTCGGCGTCTTTCATTATGTGTGCTTTTTCTTCTTCCATTGTTGAAAAAAATTACGGGAACAATTATTATATATATATATGTGTGTGCGCTTTTTTCGGGTGTGGTAAAATGGAGTGTAACTTATTTTATAAAGTAGTTGTGAGTTTCACTGAGAAGCTAAAAATAAAAACCCTGATTAGTATGATTAGAAAGGGGAAAAGAGAAGGAGTGGAGAAAAAAACAAAGAAGGGTGAGGAGAATTATTAGTTTCTATCACACTTTATTTTTTAGGTTGGAGTGTATATAACGAAATTTGTATTTGGAGTTTTGTACTATAGGTGCGGTGGTTTGTGATTATTTTGGCGATGGCTTCTAGAAAAAATGATAGGGAAAGGTGTGTAGAAAGCCCAAAACAGAGAAATGAAAACAGGGGAAGGATGGGAATAGTGCAGTGTCCATTTCTGCGAAAGAACATGCCAATGTGTCCATATAATGATTCCAAAGGGGTAGGTTTTTTTGTGCCTATGTAAGAATCATGGCTCAAATTAATTGCTTTTATTAATTACCAACGTCAAAATTCAAACCAACCAACTCTTTGCAAACTGCAAGTGCTTTTATAAGTGAGCAATAAGCGCAGTTTAAGGTTGGCAATTTGAAGATGATAAGTACTGACGTGAAAACGGTGCATCCTTTTTTTCATGTTTTTTTGTTATCGATTGGCGTTGTCAACACCGAGAGACCCGCCGTCATGGACAATCTCCCAATTACAAAGTTTGACAACACCAAACCACTAACTCACATAAACGTTTTCATTTGAAAAATGATACTTTTCAATCATACATCTCCATTAAACAACTTTGTTTTAATATTATAATAATAGTTTTACTTTATTTTTATTAAATTAGTTTATAAAATATTATATTAATATTATAATAATAGTTTTACTTTATTTTTATTAAATCAGTTTATAAAATATTATATTAATAAAAGTTAGTTATTTAAAAGGTTACATGGATTCTGATTGTGAAAATATCACCTCTCTTCTCATTTTTCTTACGCAAAAAGCATATACATTTGGACCCTGGCACAAAATTTCAGCCACTTTCTATCGTTTTCTAATATTAATTAAATAGCTTATGTTATCTTATTATTAATATTTTAATAAATGATTAATTTTAGTAGTCTGTACCAATTTCTGAAACTGTTAGAAGGGGTACTTCTTCAAAACGTTACCTTTAAATTTTTCGGTTTTTTTTTATATATATATTTCGTTTTATTTTAAAAGTATTTATTAAGTTCTTAAAAAAAATATACATGTGATATTGAAGATTTGATTACACACATTAAAACAAAATTTTATTTTTATTATTTTTAAGAAATTTGTAATCTTTTTCTTTAATATCATTATCATCTTAATATTATTATCCAAAATCTTTCTTCATAATATGTTATTTTGTTTCTGTAATAAATATAATTAAAAAAATAAAAATATAATCAATACAAATAATTAATACAATCTCAACATTTTTTAATAATATATATCCATAAACAGTTTTTTTTCAACAAAATGTCATATACAATATATATTATAAACAAAAAAATTCAACAAAAATTCATGTTTTATGAAACAAAGGAAGAAGATTTTATTATGTTTTTTTTTTCATTCATTCAAAATTTATGATTTCATAATTTTTTATTTTTTATTTGATGTAAAAAGTTATTATTTTTATTTTTAAATAAAAATATATTATCAATAATTATTATTATATTATTTAACACATTTAGTTTACTGATTTAAGATTATACATCAATTTAGATAATAAATTTGTTTTATTATTGTTTTATTTTAACTTTTTTTTAGTATTTTAAATTTATTTTTTAATTGCATATTATGTTTATATAAAATAGTTATCTTATTTTAAATTTGAACAAAAATATTGTAAGATATAGTATAAGTATATAATATTGAAAATCAAATAAATACGATAAAATAATTTATTTATAAGTAAAAGATTATAAGAATTTAAATATCATTAAAAAATAAAATTATAAATACTTATAAATTTTTGTTGTAATTTTAGTTATTATTTAATTGATTTAAGTCTATTAAAAAAATCATGTGAAAATAATATATCTTTAATAATAGTATTATATGTGATTTTTTGGAAGGTCACGTTTCTAGAGAGATGATTACATATTTAAAAATAAAGGATTTGATTGATTTTAATAAAATAAGTTTCTTTACGAGTTGTTTATTTTGTTAGATTTTAATCAAAGAACTCTTGATCCAAATTTCGTTATTTTCAAAATTTGATTCAAATATATGTATTTGTAAAAAAAAATATTTTTTCGAATAATTTGGTTTCATATTAAAGTAAAGTATTTTTTTAAGTTTTAGATGCGATTTTAGTTTTTGGAAATATATATGTTTTTAGATTTTGAAATATATTTGTTAATTTAAAATCTTTACTTTTTTATTAGCATAGTTAATTTCATTCTACAAATATTAATTAATATATAAAGAGAATGAATAATTTTTTTATTTAAGACAATTATATAATTTTAGGAACGTTGTTTAGTTAGGTAATATATTTAAGATAAGCGTATCAACCCACAAATTATACATGTCACACACACACACACACACACACACATATATATATATATATATATATATATATATATATATATATATATATATATATATATATATATAAATTAAAAAGTTTTGAATAATTCAAAATATCAATTATTTAGGATTTTTTAATTTTACTTAAAGTTCAATACAGAGTGGATTTGAATAAATGATCGTGTGCATCCAATTTTTATATTTAATAAGATCTGTAACATTTAAAAATAACTTACAAAAATAATATTGGAAAGTAAATTATTAAAAAATAAATGTATAGGAAATTAAATAGCATAAAGATAAATGTAACTCATCAAGAATAAAATAGAACTTGACAGAGGAAATCAACTAAAGTGGTGATCCAACTTACAAAGAACTCTATTAGAAATGTTTGTTCTCAATTCACACTATTTTTCAGACGGTGAGTTGTACAATTTGACAATCATCCTACTTATCTTTATTTTATCTCATATATATTGTCTTTTTGTAAATGCTTAAGTAACTATAAAAATAATAAAATTAAAATTACAAATTAAAATCTTTCAAATGGTTATTATTTTGTAATGGTTATTATTTTGTAAGCTGGCATGCACTATCATTCCCCTGTAACTTTCTCTTGATATATCCATGTTCATTTTTTCACCCTTTAAATCTTTGATTCCTAATTTTTCGATATTCTTCTCTTTTAATTCCTCGATTCTCAATTTGTTGATATTCTGTCTTTTGTAAAAAAAACTTTATCCTAACTACTTTTTTACTTTGATATGTCATTTTTGATTTGTGCTTTCACTCTTTACAACCATTCAATGTCCAATCAAGCTTGATCTACTCTTTCGATCTTTTTGTAATTTTTAGACTTAACAAAACAAAATATAATTTATATTACTCCTTACTTCATACCTACTCCTGTTGTGGTCTAACACCTGTAAAATCTGCTTTCTTGTAAACATACAATCATCATAGTAAAAAAAACACATATAAAATATACAAGGTAAGCTAGTGATTCAATTTAAGCATGAAATATTTAAATGTAAGATAAAATAACATAATTCAACTTCAAGTTTTATAAATCACATCACACGCTCATACAAGCTCGCATGCACCTTACACAGACACTGAACAACTTCCGGAAGACTAGATATTGAATTAGACATCAGGGATATGCACTTATCACAGCACAACTTCCCCAAGTGCATAACACAAGGGTGCTCTAAACACAGTTCTAAATGACTTATCAAGACACAATTATTTTTCACACCGCAGACTAAGTCATTAGAAACATATGTGAGCAGAGTAAATTTCTAAATGGATTATCAATATACAGTTCTTTTCCACACTATAGACTAAGTCATTAGAAACCTCCTTCAACCCCTCACTACCTGATCATTTTATTTATGTGATTCCAGTAATCAATATTTATACATACAACCCTACACATGAGAATACCCTTGGTAATTTTGATATCACAACACCACATTTTAAGGCATATAATATCATTCAACACACCTCATTTTATGTTCATAACATATATTTTAATAGTTTAAGACACATACACATCATTTCTCATATTATAACAAAACATAATTTTTATTTAATTCGACCTCTATCTATTCATTTGATCATAACTTTTTCTATAGACATTCTTTTTAACTAATTCTTATTTTATTGGATTCCTTATTTTTGGGGCTTTGATTTTCATATATAGAACATTAAATTTGGAGTTCAAACCTATTTTTATGATTTTTTAAAAACTATTGAACAAATTTGAAAGCGTTGAGCGAATTTTAATGCGCTAAGTATATTTGAATCTACTGAGCGAAATTTTGGCAGAATGAAACCTCCAACACTGTTCAAAATTCGTTGGGCTAATTTGAAAGCTCTGAGCGAATTGTAAATGCTTTTAACATTGTCTTAAATCAACTGGACGGATTTGTGACAGTAGCATAGAACACAATCTACCCAATACCTTATTTCTAATGTTTCAAATCAAATTAATTCTAAACTTTACCCTCCTTATTGTAAATTATTTACAAAATTCAATCTAAGAACGATATATTCATACAAAAGACTATCTTTTTTAATCTTATATCAATCAATTATACATTCACTTTTAATACCATCATCACAAATCAACACAAATATAATAACACAATCCAAATTTCTATAACTCAAACAATGACTAAGTCACCTTCACAATCCAGATCTTCTAGCCTAGAGTATTATGAAAATTGAAGGATAACTAACTTTTTTTACCTCAAACACATTGTCTTCTAGTTATAGAACCCCAAAAACTTCTAATTTTCAAGAAGATAGATCATGTTCACAAAAAACTCAAATTAAAAAAAATTAAACATATCACAATGTTTATGAACTAGTCAAGATTCATCTTTTCACAACAAAGTGTACATGCAAGGCCCCCGAGACCCACATGTAGACCTAAGCCCAAAATATGTCAGAAATAGTCTAAAATTAGGAAAGAAGAAACTTACTATATTCAAAATTTTGATCAAATAGAAATGATTTGTTCTCCTCCACGAGCACTAAGGTGTGCTTAGATCTAGAAAAAAAAAATGAGAAATAGTGCAAGAGATTTAGAGAAAAGGTATAGAAAAGAGAGTTGTAGAGAGATAATAATTTTGTAAGAATAAAATTTAAATATTTAAACTTTTCTATTTATAATTCTTTTTAATTTAAGCGGTAAAACTTCAAACTTACTCTCGTTATATCCCTTCTATTCTTAACTCACTTAAATTGGAACCTCGCATAATTAAATATACTATTACTATTTTTCACCCGATAATTTACTCATATAATTATATTTTTATTGAAAATAATTTATATTTACTGAAAAGCCTATAATATTTTTCTATATATTAATTTTGATATTATAAGTTCGAATGATGATAAAATAATTTATTTTCTAATATATAGAGGATTTATAAATTGTATAAATATCTTGTTACAAAGTAGAGATTTAAAAGTAATATATATATATATATATATATATATATATATATATATATAGCAAAGTTGTATGAACTAATGTATTTATATGAATAATACATTAAATTTGTTATAAAGTCTTTATAAAAAATATTCATTACAATCAAATAGATTATTATTTTTTTTATTTTTAATAACCAGATACATTTCACTTCTGCCCAAATCTTTACACTCCAATGTTTAGAGAGAGAAAAATATATTTTCTTGTGCTTCATCTTTAGCTTCCCTTTGAAAACAAGATTTAAGTTTTCTATCATTTTAGGTGAGAAAAGTATTTTTTTAATTGTGGAAATACTTTACTTTTCTAAAAATTGTTATAAATTTATTAATATATGCTCTGGAGAAAAATAAATATTTTGTCTTTGTTTATCATGGATTTTGTTTTTCCTTGTTGTGAATCTCTCCAGCAATTATTTGTTTTTATTATCATATAAATTAACATATATGAATAGAGAAATAAAAACTTAATTTGAAATTTATTTAAAAATGACATAAATAAATAAGATAAACACGAAGTAATATATAGAAAGAAAAAAATGATATCTAAAGATTCTTCTACAATCTTTTATTGAAAATGAATATTCTTTAATAATTTATGAAGAATGAATTATTATTATTAGGAACTAATTTTTTAATTTATTTATTTTAAATAAGAAAAGCATATAAAATTGAGTGTGATTTATACCACTTAAAGTGTAATATTTATTATATATATTATCTATTGTTCTTGAAAAAAAACTAATTGCTGAAAAGTGCAGCTTCAGTGAATTAGTTAAAGGAAAATTAAGATAGCATAATTATATATATATATATATATATATATATATAGGTGAAATATATTTATTTTATATTATGAAATAGTATCACTTAATCAAAGAATAGAAGTTAATTTTTTATGAAATTAATGAAGATAAAAAACAATTCCTAATTCTTAGATTTGAGTATATTTTCTTAGAAATTATTACCTTCATTTCTCCTTCTCACAATTTTTCTCCTTCCTAAGTTTCTCTTTCTCTGATAGAGTACATTTGAATCAAAGAATAGATTTGAAAAAAAAAATATAGAAAGTGTGAAATTCCTATCCAATAACAATAATATCTCTTATTTTTCCATTCAAAATTGAAAAGTTTGGAAAGAAAGGAATATGCAAAGACACACAATCAAAACATAATTTCTGTCTAAGATGAAATATTAATATTTTATATTATATAATTGATTAGGTTTCAATTTTTTTATTTTGTTTTTAATTATCATAATAATAAATAATTAAATAAATTTATTAAAAAATATTTATTTTATTTGTTCACATATTTTTATTTTTATTTTTAAATTAAAATAATCTTATTTCGTAATTTTATTTTTTGTTGACTCTCTTGTAAACAAAGACTAAAAGTTTGTAGTGGTTTAAAATGCAATTCATGGTAGGATTTGTCATGCGTCACATAGACAACAACTACAGTATTTCTCTCTGATTAAAAGTCAGAGCAGCTTCTAGAATAATATTGTTACGTAAAAAACCATGACAATAATATATTTCTAACAATTTACTTTTACACATAATGAATACTATTTGGGATCAGTCAATTTGAAGACAAGAAAATAGTAGATTCAACTCAAAATTTTAAGAAATGAAGTCATGAATCAATTTGTCCATTTGGAAATATCCATCCAATCTTGTGAATCCATATAGGAAGATTGATATCATCATTCTGTGATCCTCTTCTGTGTCAGGTGCCAATAAAAATAAAAAATAAAACAACGGTGAAACCTTTACAATTGACCAAAATTGGGCTGATCCATCAAACCATGGAGCGTCAAGCCTCCAGCAATGTCTTTGTGAAATCATCCATTGTAGTTATTAACATAGACTAAATTGTGTCAAATTTTACATGATTTTCCTGCACTGCAACCTTCAATGTTTGTTTTATGAATGTTCAAGTTGTATTTCTTAATGGGTTTCAGTATCAATGAATTTTCACGTGGAATTTTAATTGATAAGTTTGATTTTGAGGACTTGATATAATGATTCATTCTAAAGTTGAACTATGTTCATTTTTCATTTGTTAGCTTTAAATAATTTTATTTAGAGAATAGACGTTTTCATACTGTCATGTTCTTCTTAAATAGTTGAACAAAAAAAGGACATAAAGCGAAGATGAACCCAAATATTAAATATATATATATAAACCATTTAATATTATTTGAATTTAACTATATAAATAAAACTTTCTACTATGTAAGTTTATAACTCACACAATAACATGTACTTCCATTTCACCCTTAAAAAAATAAAAATGAAATATCCCTCCTCGTTATCGTATTGAGATGAAAACTATTTATATTAAAAAAAAAAAAAAAAAGTTATCATTGCTACAAAACTTTTAACACCAACTTATGTTGTTCATACCTCCAAATTGCAATGCTTAATAATAAGTAGGGGAATACTTCTGTGGTTTAGAACATAGCAAACTAGATAATAAATAAACATAAATACCCATGCTTATTTACCTTATAAAAGTTAAAGTCAATGCAATTAACTTTAAAATTTTCCAAAGCTACGAAGCGAAACAAAAACAATCCCTGAAACCCAAAGCTAAAACTCAACAACTAATACAATATCAACAGTAAAATTGTAACTATTAGAGAACATAATCATCAGTGATAGCAAAAATCCCCAATAATCTATCCACCGAAACCATAGAGGGTCCTGCCCTGTCTCTTGAGAGCGTATACAACATCCATAGCAGTTACAGTCTTGCGGCGAGCATGCTCGGTATAAGTGACAGCATCACGAATCACGTTCTCAAGAAAAATCTTAAGAACACCACGGGTTTCTTCATAGATGAGACCACTAATACGCTTAACACCACCACGTCTTGCGAGACGGCGAATAGCCGGCTTGGTAATTCCCTGAATATTATCCCTCAGAACTTTACGGTGCCGTTTTGCTCCTCCCTTTCCGAGACCCTTGCCACCCTTTCCTCTTCCAGACATAGTTCACAGATTTTCTTTCCTGATTCCAATTTGGATATGCAAGCAATAACTTGGCGGGGTAGAGGGAAAATCAAAGGTTTATATAAACACCGCAATATATATATTTCGCCGTTGGATTGGTTAGCGATCCTTGTGAAAGGATATCTTCGCCGTTGGATTTAAAATAATTGAATTCAATTGGTGGAAAGTGTGTGACGCGGATAGTGAGGTTTGAAATTTTGAAGTTTGGGCTGGTGGGTATATTTTTGGTTGGGAGTTGTGTCTGTCAGAAAACACATCTTTTTTAGCGCAATTGAATTTGAAAATGTAATATTTTTTTATTTCATATATTAGTGTGGGATATAAAGAAAATGTAGCATATTTCGAAAATCAACCATGTGAAATTCATGCTTCATCCTTAAATATTATGATAAAAAAATTTACATAATTGAATTAAAGTGGGAAACAAAAAAATATTTTTGTTAGTTTATACTTTTTGGTTTTAAGATTTGCATAAAAAATAATCAAATATTTTACAGAAATTCAAAATGTTAAGTATGTATTTACGAGTGGTTAATTACGTTAGATGTACGACTTCGAAGTTTTTTTTTCCCACGATTTCAACTCTCGAATACACAAAGTTGTATTTTTAGTGGAGTAGTTTCTTCCTCAAAAAATTGAGAAGCTTATCTCAATTTTAACTATTATTGGTGGCATAATGTGTTCGTCTTCCTATATTTTTCTCGTTTTAGAATTACAACATATCACCAACACCAGATGAAGCTAACGTCGGTGTAGTTAAATGTTCGGTAGAAAAGTGAACTGAAATTAAGCATCACAGTTAAACTCGTAATCATGCGATCCATTTGTCTTCGTCTCAAGTTTTATGTAAATTTTGATGAGAAAATTCGCGTCTCGAGTTTTATGTCAATTTTGATGAGAAAATTCGAGTTGATAGGAAGACGATAGCGGAGACGGGTTCAGGTTTTTTTGGCTTTAAAAAGTTGGGAGACTAAGATAGATAATGCAATCCCCTCCTTAACTTGCGTCTTCACGTCGATTTTATATTTAAATTTAAAATTTAAAATATTAATACTTTAAATATATTTTCTTTTCTTTTTCTATTATATATAAGGTTATTTTTTTAATATTTCACCAATTTTTATTTTTCTTCTACCCACTTTTAATTTTTTTTGTCTTTTTTAATCTTTTATATCTATTAATTTATTATATTATTCTCTTTCTTATCTTTCTGTTTTTTACATTTTCTTAATTTCTTCTATCAATTTATTTATTTTTTTAATTTTTTCAATCAATTTGATGAACACAAAGTAAATTTTTTTCTTTATCTTTTTCTAAATATATTACATAAATTCTAGTAATAACTAATATTATTTTATTTATAATGTATATTTATTAGGTTTTATTATGTCATATTTTTTATCTTATTATTCTTATTTATCATATATCAAATGTTATTTTAATAAAATAATTATATTTTAAAAGATTAAAAGAAATTGATAATTTAAACTTTTATTACTTCGAACTAATTAAATAAGAATTAACTTATTAAATATTTTCTTATAAGCTATATATTTCATATTTTTAAATGACAACTTAAAAATAAATTAATTTATATATATAATTAAATGTTTGAATACGAGTATTATAATAATAATGGTATAATTATTCAAATATTTGAATAATAATAATAATATTATTATTATTATTATAAATATTCTCTCTATATATATATGAATAAAAAATAATTAAATATTTTTTTACATACATATTTTAATATAAATATAATAAATTAAAATGTATATTTAATTAATAATAATTATAAATTATAAATGTTTATTTATATATATAATACATAATAAAATGAATTATCTTTTTAAAAATAATATAGATCGGGGACGGAGCGGGGCGAAGAACCCGAAATTTAATGAGAACGAGAATTGAGACTTAATTTTTAACCTCGGTAAGAATCGAAGACGGGGATGGAGATGGTTAAAAAAGTCAAAAACGGACATTGGAAACTCAAAACCCGCCCTGCCCCGACCGTTGCGATGCCTAACCGACACTACTTTCTACAAGTAGTTTTACTCCTTTAAAATAAATTTGCAATAGTTGGTCAGGTATTTTGTGGTATAAATTTGGTTAGAGATTTATGGAGGATCTTGAGAAGTCACGTTTATTAACATAAAAAAATAATTATAAAATACTTGAAAAGAACTTCAAATGCAGTGTTTTGTTTCCTAAAAGGAAAAATCAATTCAAAATTTAGGTGTGATACTCATATTTTAATTGGTGTGTTGATAAGTCTCGTTTGTATTTAATTTATTAAGCATAGTCGTATTTTTTAAAATATTTTTTAATATAAAATTTTTAGTCTCTATTTATTTTTAATAATTTTTGAAAATTAATTATATTTTTTATTGATATACTTGACATTTTTTTTTGTAAAATTTGATGAAGAAACAAATTTAGGAGAGTATAAGAAATACAAATATGGAATGAACAATGTTAATCCACCAAATTTGATTACTGATTAGTTAGAATGAATATTGATTAAGCCAGTCTCTTATGTTGGGTTAACTTAGGATCAAATGTTACAACGTTTTATCCAATCAGAGCAACCTCTCGCTCAACCAAAGTAACCTCTTACCCAAGGCATGAAACATAAACAAATACAAGCAATACTTGTTCAACGAGCTTGGGTTTTAGCTCATTATGTTATCCTTAAATCTCAATATAAAGTGTATTTTTATATTAGAAGACATGTTGATAGAGGAGAAAGTTACTACACCCATCCATTTAAATATTTTCTCCATTATTTTTTTTATTTTTTTATCTTTTATTTTGTTTTCATTATTTTTTTTAATTAGATTTCATTATCAAACTCTTTTATATATTTTGATTATATTTATATATATGATTTCGACTTTTTATTGTTATTTTTCTTTAATTATTGTGACTTAATCAATTATAAATAAGTTATTAAAAGACTGAAATATTTATATAAATTATTATATATGATAAGATAATTAATAAATAATTATTATTCATCATTGAATTTTTAAACTTAAACTTATTACAAGTTTATCTTATTGAACTGGTGGCTTGGTATTGTAATTAAATATAATATTTTAAAAGGGATTAAAGTATAACTATTTTTATGATAAATATTGATGAAAAAAAGAGTTTAATAGAGGAAATAAGTGAGGTGTGGAGTCTAATGTTCATCAATATCTATTTTGATTGAATTAGCTTTCTAAGTTTAAAAATACAAAAAAGTGTTATGTTTTTTTAAGTTTTAATATTAATCTTAAAATTCAAATTAACAAAACATATTTTTTATTTTTTTAATTTAAGCATAGTAACATAAAATTATCATTAGAAATAACCAAAAAAATTTAATTCATTATTCTTACTCATTTAAAAACTACAAATGAAAATGGTGTGTTTGCAAAATAAACCTATAAGGTGAAAAAAAAATACGTGTTTAAAAATTTATGCATTAATTTTTGTAGAGTTAAAAGATATAAGTAGTACTAGTTGTTTCTTTATGTGAAATAGAATACATAATTTTCTATTATGTAGCATGTTGTGACTTAGATTTTTAATTTTTTTTAAGAAGATTCATTTGAGAGTAAGTAGTGTTATGAAATTGTTAATAGACAATAGTTTAGTGACTCCAAAGAATATATAAATTTAGATCGAGTATAATTTTCTTTGTGATCAATTTAATATAATAAGAGATTGAAATGTTTTTGCAAGTTACAAATATTTTAACAAATCATATTAAGAACTAAACATTTAGGAAGGATGTGTTTAATATAATGAGAAATTGAAGTGCTTTTGTAAATATCTTAACAAATCATATTAAGAATTTAAAAGTTAAAAAGGATGTCAAATGTGGTGTCCCTACAAATTTTGCATAAGAAATGAGTAGCGGTGACTATATATATGAAAAAAATAAAAAGAATTATTTATTATTATTAATTTTATAAACAATAATTAAAATACTTATAAATAATTATTATTCATAATTATAAATATTTTTATCGTGTTATTTGTATAATTTATATTAAAGAATAAATAAGTTTATAATTTATTAAAAATAAATTAATATAATTTAAGGGAAAAAAATATTATTCATAATTAATTAATAGTTTTTTATATACAATTTCTATTTAAGTTAAACATAATTAAAATTGTTAATTCACATTCAATTACAAGTCAAATTAAAAAAAATATAGTATATTTATTGATAGTCGTTACTTCAAATTTAATCCTAAAACTAACCTTTTTTTATTTACTTTTTATATTAGTTTGTTCTTTTATTTCTTATTCGATTTTATATTGATTGTAATGGTTATTTTTCAATAAATTTTAATTTCATTTATCCAATTCAGTTATGATAAATCTGTAATTAGAAAACATATTCAATAATTTTATTAATTGACAGCATTAACACACTTAAGATTTTTTTCACATAATTTTATTCTCCTTTAAAGGTACATGGTGAATTGCACGGCTAGCTAGAAAATTGAAAACATACACAGTAAATCTAAAAATGTTATCACAGGTTCCTAAAATATTTATTGAATATGAAATATAACTTTAATATTATTTAAATATTTAAAACATTTATCTATTGTTGTCTAGAGGTCACATTGACCTTATGACCCTAAAGTCAACATTTTTATTTTTTTTAACGAAATGAAGCTGATTTTGGAACACTGTTGAAGATGTCATAGAGTTATACAGTCATAAATAACTGAGTTCACCTCACATAGAGTTGCACACTCTACCCCTATTGGAGTGAATATATATGCAAAATGAAAAATAACTATGTATTCCTTGTACAGTTTTTTTTTTCATTTAAATGATATAAAAATAAAAATTAATTATTAGATATGATAATAAAGCAACTAAAATATTACTAATTTGAAGTCATTGGTTGTGCCATCATAACAGAGTGGCCTACTGAAAAAGTTTGAAATGTTGACACTACGACTAAGATTTCAATAATTGAAGTCCTCCCTGCCTTCCTCAAATGGAATAACACTACTAAGGTTACCTCCAATAATTGAAGTTTATATTATTAGAAACGGGTATGCATAAAGACTCTTGGGCAAAACGAAGATTATCTATTATTATCGTAATGTTTTTAGTTTAATTTTTTTTAATAGATTTAATATTGTTAAAATTTATTATAATATTATATTAAAAATACTTAAATTAATTTTACAAAATTAGATTAAAAAAATATAAAAATTAATAAATTTTATACGATAATATTATTATATCTTTAATTAACATAACGTTTTATTAAATATTTAATATATTTATGAAAATATTAATACTTTTATCTCACTAAATATTTATTTATTTTATTATGTTTTTTTAAATAATGTTTTATTTAGATAAGAAGATGTAAAAACTGAGAAAATGAAAAAAAAATTGTTTGATAATTGTCAGAGAATAAACAATATCTGTTCAATTATTGGAGAATAAAAAAAATATATTTTCATGTTTTGACACTTTAAACATCAATTTAACAACTTAAAATATTAATATAGTAATAAATATTATTATTTAATTAATTAAAATAATTGTAGATAAAATATATGAATTGTGAACCCATTATTTCCCTAACAAAAAAAATCAAAATCAGACAAAACTCTCAAATTACTTATAACCACGATACAAAATATTTAAAATATCAATATTATCCTTATTGAACACTTCTTTATCAGAGAATATAATTATATTTTATACTTACATATTTACTCTGTACATCAATGATTAAATAGTATAAAAAAACAGTATTTTATGACTTACTGAGTTGTGTTGTGTTATTCTGGTACTACTTACATTAGATAGAGTCCAGCACAAACCCCTTTTTGTAGAGTACCATGTTGAACAGAATCTAAAGCAAATCCCTTCTATATGGTAATAGTTGTCTAAAACAAATTTTTATATTTCAATTTGTTTAATTTATTTTAGTACTTAAAAGTCATCAAAATTCATATTTAAAATTAATACGAAACTAATTTTGGTGGTTAAAATTATTTGACCATAATCAAAGACAAATTTTAGGTAAAAAAATATTAATACAAATATAAATATTATTATTATTATTATTATTATATTATTGATAAAAGTGATAATCAAATGATATCTTTTATTAAATTGTTTATATATCAAAATCGTGATGTTTTTTAACACATCTTTTGGACGGTAAAGTTGAGAAGTAAGTATCATCTTGTTTTGGGATCCTCTGTGGTCTTATCTTAGTCCTTAGATTAACATATAGCAGTTACTATTAAAAAAGTAATTATATAATTAAATATGAAAGGTTGATATATTGATCTAGAGAATCCAATTGTCTATCATCACCTCGTGGAATTTTCGAACAAAAGACACAAAGGAGTCCAACACTCATTTTCTATGCCTGTATCTTTCTCTGGTAAATTTGAAGTACAGAGATTCACAACATAAATTTGGGATGGGGGACTTATCACCAAACTCGTGTGATAAGTCAGAAGGACTACACAACCCCTTACAAGCAAAGAAGCAATTTTGACCTAAGGTCGAATTGAAACCTGATAAGTGGGTCATTTCAAATATTGTCCTTATAATTTTTTTTAAAGGGTGTGTGCTGTGATGGGTTTATTCTTATACTATTGTTACATACAAAAGCGGTCTGAGTATAAAAGTTGGTTGTTTTATACACAAAAGTCAAAGATAAGGACAGGAAATTTTACGTTTCATGGCACATGGGTCCTCCCACCTAACCATATTTTTCTGATCTCATAGCAAAAGATCATGATATATTGAAAATTGTTTTTCTTTTACCTACTCTTATTTTATAACTATGATTTAATAATATAATTAAAATGAACTGGCAAAAAAGTTGTTTGATTTTTAAAAAATGGCAGAACATAATTTTCCCTCAACAAATAGACAATCATGCATGCAAGCCACACCCATGTGCTCCCAAAAAATGAACTTTGGCCCCCTTGGATTCTCTGGAATCCTATATATATTTTTTATATTCTCACTTATTTTCATAGTCTCTCTCCATTGCTATCCCTTCCAATAAAATTCGAACACATGACATGGAAGTCTTTCTAGGACAGCCACATGCACCCACACCATTATAAAGGCTTTTCTGAAACAAGCCATGCATTAGCATATGTATGAATGTGAACAGAATCGTTGCTCATAGGAGGCAAATATGTCGCTACCTCATGATCTATCTATCTTATTACTGCTGATTTCAGGTCCACTGACATCACATTTCTCGAAATAACACAATTTCATACACATTAATGATTGGATTACTTCTAATCTCACCAACATTAATAGGAGGTAATTCAATTATTAGTGCCAACACACTATGACTACAGTTCTCTCATGTTTATTTGATCTAATTTATAATTAATATTGTTCTAGCACATGGTACCACGCTAACTTTATTTATCTGGAATTTTCTCTCTTTCTTTGTACCACAAATAATAAGGAGAGAGAAACTATGGTGATAGAGACTCGCTGGTCCAGCGCACTGATGCAAGATCAGTTGAATGTAGTATAAATCAGGACGCTTCCAATATGCGGTAGTAGCTCTAGAAGAAGGACTAGGACACTGGTTGCATTGTTCAATTTCCTTCAGCTACCTTCCTCGCGTCATGGCCAACCCTTCCGGATTCGTCTCCTTTAGAAAGCCAATCACCCACGTCGTTTTCGACATGGACGGTCTTTTGCTAGGTATTTCCATCTCTCTTCAACAATGCCATGCAACCTTCTTCCCGTTTGTTTCTCAAACAACATGTTCAAACATAGTTTTTAGTTGTCCCTTTTTCACAGAACTATTCCATTTTGTTAAGATCTGTCTTTCTTGATGGACTTGGGAGTAATATTTCCACTGAAGTTTGTGTTGTCAAGTAGTTTCCCTAAGTCACTAACATTTTTGTGTTTTCTAGCAAAGTAGAAAATCACATTTGCTTTGTGGAGAAGTACTTCTGTTTACGGCTTAATGCCATTCACGGATTTTATAAATATATATATGAGTGGGTTGGTTTTGTTGCAGACACAGAGAAGTTCTGTAATCAAGTTCAGGAAATCATACTTGCTAGATACAACAAAACCTTTGACTGGAACGTGAAGGTAAAGATGTTGGGGAAGAAAGCATTAGAAGCTGCTAGGATCTTTGTTGAGGAAGCAGGAATCAGTGAGTTTCTCAGCGCTGAACAATTTCTGATTGATAGAGAGGATATGCTGCAGGCATTATTTTGGAAGACTGAGTTTATGCCAGGTATGTGGATTGGAAACCGTTATCTAAACGTAAAATTAAACCATGATGCTATAAACTTGGTGCTGTTGGATCAGATCCCCTGCATGCAGTGAGGGGTGACCATTCAATTTTTTTAATTATATTTTATTAATATTTCATACAAATAAAGTTTATTTAATGATTGAGATCCCTTCGGTTGATAAAAGATTCCTACGAGGCTCCTGATCCGGTCCTGTCGGGTCAAGTGCAAACTAAAAAAATACATTGTAGACATGTGATGAGCGAGAGGAAGGAGCTTTGAACTGGCACCAGAAATTGAATGTTTTTAACATAGTAGAACATGACGAAGAAGAGGCACATGACTATTTTTTAATATAAGCATGACATAAATATACTTGGATTGTTTTAAAAAAATAAAAATTCATGTTAAATTTGAATCCACGGATATTTGTCTCACTCCTATCTGATTTTGATGGAATAGGAATGTTCCCAATGGTCCAATGAAAAAACTAAAATAAAATTCAAAAATAAAAATAAAAAAATGACTGAGAAAAAAAGGAAATTCTTTATTGTTATTAGGAAGACTGAATTTTAGATTTGATTTTGAAAAATAATTCTATTATATCTATCTATATCCATCTCTCTCTCTCTCTCTCTCTCTCTCTCTCTCTCTCTCTCATATATATATATATATATATATATATATATAGCAAAGATTCCAAAAGATTAAAATTAAAATATTGAATTTAAGTTATTTTGTTATATGATATAAAAATTTATTTGTAAATTTTCTTATTATTAGATAATGAAATTTGATTACTAATTTATAATGACTCTTATTTTAAAGTACTAAAATAACAGATTTTACTTATGAAAATATTTAGATAATAGATCTTAAATATTAGATATTAAACTTTCAAATTATTCAAAATTCCAACTATATATATAATAAATAAAAAAATTTAGACAAAACATTCGATAATTTCTATGAAGTTTTGTCCCGACAACTACGTTTCTATGTTTAACTTATCTATCATCAAAGGTCCACGTACAGGGTCTCTATATTGACATATTATAACAGTAACAATATTTTATAATATAATAATATTAATACCAATAAACGTTAAAAAATATTATCGCATAATTTGATGTAAATAAAACAATATAATTTTATAGTAACAACATTTGATATTAAGTTAATCTGAGTTTTAGAAAAACCAAGGTGTTGTTGACAATAAAGCCCTCACTAGAAGTTATATAAATACTTAAAATATATAAATTATGTGTCATATCCACTACAACCATGTTTATATATTGATGCCCTACTGTATCATTTTCACCTATTATAGGTGCTGCTCGTCTAATCAGGCATTTACATGCCAAAGGAATTCCAATTTGCTTAGCATCAAGGTACCCTTGAATCATCTTTTGTTTATCAAACTTATTGTATCCACCCTATTTAGGGGTTGTTTGAAAAGGAAACCACTATACTTTGAGGCATTCATTATGAAAAGTTGTTTTGGCAATTTGTCTCACAGTTCTCACAGGCTACATTTTGAGCTGAAAACTCAAAGACATCGTGAACTATTTTCTTTGTTGCATCATGTTGTTCTTGGCGATGACTATGAGGTTAAGCAGGGCAAGCCTTCCCCAGATATATTTTTTGCTGCAGCCAAGAGATTTGAGGTATTCCACTATCTGAATGTGGCGTGCACTTTTCTTCTACACCATGCCTTGTACTTTCTTTAAATACTTGGAATTCGGAATTGGGTTCGATTTATTTTTGTATTTTGTAACATTAATGCTGAGTTGTTTGTGAACAGGGTGGGCCAATAGATCCTCATAACATTCTGGTTTTTGAAGATGCACCCTCTGGAGTTCTTGCAGCCAAGAGAGCAGGAATGTAAGTGAATTGAAACATAGTATAATAAATTTTCATGTTATATTAAACATTAATGAATTGAGCGTTGGAATATCATCTTCAATACGTAAATCTTTTCTGGTTGCATGTCATTCAGGCGTGTTGTTATGGTCCCTGATCCAAGGCTGGACAAAACTTTTCATAAGTTATCAGATCAAGTTTTGAAGTCACTGCTGGACTTCAACCCTGTCGAGTGGGGTCTGCCTCCTTTTGAAGATACCAATGGAAGATGAACTTGGAATTCTCTTCTTGTCGCTCTTTTCTTTTTATTGCAGACTGAAAAGTTCCGTATGTTTTGTTTGAACTACTTTCTGAGAAATGAATCTATTTCGGTTATTTTCTTGTTGAATTATATGACCCTTGTCGACTAATCTTGGTCAGTAAAGATGTGGAACCATAATGTTTGTGGATCACAAATTTGGTTGGTCTGACGTAATAGTTCTTTATCGGTAGATAGCATATATAATTCTCGAAAACGGCATGGTTTCGAGGTGTGATTTTTTTTGGGTTGGAAGTTACATAACAATATCATTTTTGTTTGATTTTAAAATTAAAAAATAATTTTAGTTATTGTATTTTTTTACTTTTTTTTAATTTTTAAGTCACATGAATAAAATTAATATAAGTTATTAATTATGATAAATTAATAGATAAATTTTAAAAAATACATATATTTAATAAAATTAATATTCAATTAATAATTAATCACATAAATAATATATTTTTAAACAATTATTCAAATATTATCAATTTATTTGCTCAATTTATTAATTTTTAATGTACAAAATATGATTATTAATTTTATATATATATATATATATATATATATATTTTTTTTCTCATTCTTGACTCATTATTTGTTTTTCTCTTCTTGTTTATTTCTTTTTTATATTTTTTCTCTCTCTCTCCTTCGTTTCCCTCTTTATTTTTCTCTCTCCTCTTTTACTCTTTATATTTTTTATTTCTCTCTTATTGTCTTTTATTATTTTCTCTCCCTTCCCAATTGCTCTTCTTCTGATTGAAAATTCTAAATTGAAATTTAATAAAAAATATTAAAATATATTTTAAAAACATGTTGAAATTTACAAGAAAACTAATGTATATTTTGTTAGAAAATATATTTTTAGATTTTTAAATTTATTACATTTATTTTGTATCATTTATCTATAATTTAATGGAAAAATATTTTTTACCAAAACTAATAAAATTATTTAAATTTGATATATAACTAGTTAATCTTTGAATGTTTTTATAATATCATAAATATTAATAAATAAATAGATTTCAGCTATAATAAGTAAATTCTTTGTATATAAAACATTCTTTTAATTAGACGAGTTTTGGAAGGAAAAATATTTCTATACATGTAGATGGAAAGATGTGAGAGATTGATTCTTGTTTGGATTTGAGTCGAAATAAAAAAAAATAGTACGAAATGAAAAATATAAAAAAAAGTAAATTTTATTTTCATGACAAAGTGTGAAGAAAAGGAAACTAAAAGCAAACATAAATGGAAATTGTACAAACATAAATCTTGTTGAGAACAAAGAGAAAACCTATATATATAGTCTAAGTAGTAAAACTTAATTATTATAATTTTTTGTACAAACTTTTTTTTTCATTATTTAATATATTATTTATGTTATATATTTTTTATTCTTCAATTAGATATTCTTGTTAATTTTTCTTAGATGTAAACGAAATAAATAAATATTAATTAAAAATTATCCTCTTTTTCTACTTTTTAATTATTATCCTCTAAAATATAAATGAATAAATAAAAAAAATATTTATTCTTTATCTTTTTAATTACACATTTTTTTATTTTTTTCTCTTATTAAAACATAATTAATAATGTATAATTATAAAAATGATTGTTTATATTTTAAAATTAATATATACATTAAATTTTAATTGATTAAACTACGGAAACAATAAAAAGTAGGAATACACATGGGATGTTTGTACTTCTGCTAATAATAATAATAATAAAATATTAATAAATATTAATATGTAAATAATAAAAAAGATCTCTTCATTTCTTAATTTAAAATCTTATATTTTCATTCATTTCTTAATTGTTTTTTTTTTCTCAATTTTCATCTTTCCATCCAAACAAATTATGAAACTGAAAAGCTATTACATGTTAAATTATACATTATGAGAACTACATCTTATAAGACGTGTTTTAAAACACAATATCAATGTTATTTTTAAAAAATAAATTATATTAAAAAAATGATTTGATTTAAAAAAAGTAAAGTCTCACAGCAAAAATCATGTTTAGTGATTGTTTTAATTAAACCAGTCTTCGAAGGTTAGTTTCATTTTTGGAAATTTTTGTTATTAAACAAAATTTCTATTATTATTTCCAAAGATTAAAAGAAATAAAATGTTGTCAAATTTATTATTTTTATTAAAATTCATATATCAACAGTAATATACTTACAATTTTTTTTTCAAACATTTATACTATAACTTTTGTTTAATAATAATACAATGATAATAAATATAAAAATATAAATTAGTAAAAAAATTGTTATATGTTTTTTAAAAGTTGTGAAGATGTAATTTCACTTCTTATTTTAAAACATATGACTTTTTCTCTATAAATAATAGTTTAAATCACGTTATCCTTGCTATTTTTGTTAAATTTCTCCATATTAGCGATATTTAACTTTTTTTTTTTCTAAAAAATTTAAAAATTTCCGTGTATGGAAAAAAAACAAAAAACAAAAAACTCCGAAAAATATTATTAGTCCGAATGTGATTCCTGCGATAACAAAAATTGTTGATATTCGCGACGAGCAAATTAGGGACGCCGGTGAAATCTGCGGTTGTAGATCGGACACTGGACAAGAAGGTCGCACTGTTCCTTCAGCTTCGTCGCGCAATGGCCAGTCTATCCGGCGCTGTCACCGTTAGAAGGCCAATCACCCACGTCGTTTTCGACATGGACGGTCTCTTGCTCGGTATTCCATCAATCTTCAACCATCCCATGCCACATTCTCGTTTACCAACATAATTTCTTAAACAAACCTGCAGTACCCTTTATTGTTTACTAGCAATGCCCTTACCTTGTCATTGTTATGTTGGGTGACACTTCTGCTGTTAGCTTCTGTTGATTTGGGAATTCGATTCTTTTGCAGACACTGAGAAGTTCTATACACAAGTCCAGGAAATGATACTTGCTAGATACAACAAAAACTTTGATTGGACCCTGAAGGCGAAGATGATGGGAAAGAAAGCAATAGAAGCTGCAAGGGTCTTTGTTGAAGAGACTGGAATTAGTGATTCACTTAGTGCTGAGCAGTTTCTGGTAGAAAGAGAGGATATGCTGCAGTCGTTGTTTCCCACGAGTGAGCTTATGCCTGGTATGTGGATTATGTAATGGATATTGAGAACCCTTATCTAATTAACTTACAGGTTTAAGATTCGTGTAGCTATGACTTATTACTGGGAAATACAAGTGAGTATAAGTAACATGTTGACTAAGAACGATAAAGTTGAGTAAGTATAAGGAATAAAAACGTATAAGGTAATACATTAAACTTTTGAGTTAAAGGTGACGATAATCCTGATGAATCCCTCGAAAGACCATAATAGGTATTAGAATCGATGGTTTGTGTAACGACCCACCGTGTAAACATGGTCTATGTATTGAAAGTCTTCTTGACAATAATACAAGTAAGAACCATTAATGAATGAGAAAGTTGAGTAATATATAAAAAAAAAGACATATAATCTAGTACCTTAAGATTTTGGGTTAAAGGTGATGTCAATTCCTTATATAGGTTAGACTAATGTCTCGTTAGGATTGTCTCTCTCCGGTGAATCCCCTTGAAAGATCCATCACTTATAAACCATGGTCTGGTCCAATGGAAACGGGAATTGACATTACATCATGTGATAATGGAGCTTATGTATGTATCCCATATCAATACTTGGTTTGTTCTAACTTCTAGACATGAATTCTTTACAGTGAGGGTGACCAGCTTATTTTCAACTATTACTAAATTATATTTTGTTTTCTTTAGTTTATATATTCTTGCATGAATTACTAACCTGAATTTTAAAAGTAGAGAAATTTGTCTTATCATCATCTATTCGGTATTTCTCACTTGTTTAGTTGTAAGAGCTTACTTTGGAGCTTATTTAGGCTTGTAAAAAAATAGCTTATGACTCCTATCAATGCTTTTGAGCTTATTTTTATAAAATTCTTGGGAAAGTTTATCGAGATAAACCCTTTTCATCTTTTTTCAATAAGTTTCCCAACTAAATCTGTGACATAAGCTCTCACGAGAGGAGTTTGGAATAACTTATATGGAGTTTATTTGAACTTACAAAAATAGGTCATGACTCCTACAAGTCTTAATAGCTTATTTCAGTAACCTTCTTGGTGTAGCTTATCAAAATAAGTTCTTTTTAACTTATCCTAATGAGTTTCAAGGCCAAATTTATGGCATAAACCCTTATGTGACAAGCTTATTGAAAAACCAATTAATTAAACCATTTATCGAAACACATTCAAAATCTTATTGAATAACTGTTTAATTAAGTTATTTAGCCAAATACACCCTGCATGTATGGCATTTGAATGTCTTAATGCTTTAAAGAAAGCATTTTAAAAACATTTAATGCATGTATTATTATGTACCCATGTCTTATTGGTAAAAGATTTCACCCCATAGCGTTTATTGATGATAGTGATTTATTCAAATCTGTAGTTTCTACTAGAAGCTGCTCATGCTCATTGTAAAGAGACAAATGAGTAGATTTGCGTTTTACAATAATATTTTAGAAAATATAATTTTCAAAACCGGAAAATCATTTTTAGGTAGAAAACTAGTGACTAGTACACACCAAGGGGCAAGTGGCGGATCTTCTTGGGAGTCGAGGGGGCCGTGGCCCCCAAAGTTTTGTAACTCCCATATCATTAATGATTTTGGCCCCCCAAACATAATTAGTATTTAATATATTTACTTGTATATTTACAATTTTATCCTCCCAACTCCTCCTCGGTTTTGTAACTTTCATATAATTTATGATTTTATTTCCCTCAAACTTAATGATAATTTAATATATTTAAGTATATATCTACAATTTTATCTTTTAAACCTTTCATATTCTTTCTTCCTTTTATATTTATTTATTATTTATTAATAATATATTATTTGGCCCTCCCAAGATCAATGGTCAAGATCCGCCACTGCCAAGGGGTAAGACGAAGTCTTTGTCGAATGAACCGTCTGAAAATGGACACACACTTTCTTCTCTCCCTCAAGACGCTGGTCCACTCCCTTCACTCCATTGGTGATCCTATCTTCGATCGTGAACAACTTGACCTTATTCTTGAAGGTCTTCCGGTTGAATATAAGTCATTCCTTGCTCTCATCAACAACAAAGCAGATTTGTTTTCTCTCGATGAAGTAGAATCTATGCTTGTTGCTCAGGAAGCTCGGCTTGCAAAGTTTCGTCCTGATGGTGATACGGTTTCACTTAATCTCACAAAAGCCTCGTCTCCAACCGCTTCTTCTCCCAATGTTAACTTTGCTCAGGGTGTTTCCGCTTCTTCATCTACTTTTTTCCTACTACCTTTCGTGGTGGTGACTATTTTCAACGCGGTCATTCCAGTGTATCTCATTAATCGTCTCCCTGCATTAAATGCTCCTCATCCAATTCTCTATTGTACTCTTTTTAATAAAGAAATCAATTATCATTTTCTTAAAGTGTTTAGTTGTGCATGTTATCCTCGTACTCGCTCCTATAATCATCATAAATTGCAGTATAGGTCCACGGCCTGCACTTTCTTAAGGTACTCTTCGTGTCACAAAGGGTATAAGTGTCTTGACTCCAATGGTAAAATCTTTATTTCTAAGCATGTTATCTTTGATGAAAACACTTTTCCCTTTGCCACTCAAATTCACACTCCTTTGTTACCCTCTTCCCCTTCTCGTCTCCTACCCCTTGACATCCTTCCTAGTGCTATTCATAGTCCCACTCAGCATGCTACTTTGAACTCTCCAGTTGTTGTGTCATCTCCTATGTCTCAACCCTCTATTTCTTCTCCTCCTCCTGTTCCTGTCCCTAACCCATCCTTAGCATCTGTTCCTAGTTCTTCCTCTCTTCCATCCGCTCATCCTATGCAAACACGTTCCAAATCAGGTATTGTTAAGCCTCGTCGCTTTCCTACTTTGCTTTTCACTATTGCAGAACCATTTATTGTTAAGCAAGCTCTCTCCTCTCCTCTTTGGAGGCAAACCATGCAATCTGAGTATGATGTTTTACTAGCTAATCATACGTGGCAGCTCACTCATCTTCCTCCTGGCCGAACAACTATTGTTTGCAAGTGGGTTTTTCGCATTAAAGAGAATCTGGATGGTACTGTCAATAAATATAAAGCCCGTTTAGTGGCCAAGGGGTTTCATCAGTAGTTTGGATGTGACTATTCTGAAACATTTTCACTTGTGATTAAGCCTGCCACTGTCCGTATTATTCTTACCTTGGCTCTCACCAATCATTGATCTATTCAGCAGGTTGATGTTAATAATGCTTTTCTCAATGACATTCTTCATGAAGATGTTTACATGACTCAACCCCTTGGTTTCGAGTCCACATATTCTTCTCTTGTGTGCAAGCTTCAGCGTTCCATTTATTGTCTCAAACAGGCTCCAAGGGCCTGGTATGATATCCTTCTCTATTAGTTCTTACCACTGCTATTGATACTCTCTATGTTCTCATTTATGTTGATGATATAATACTCACGGGCTCATCCTCCACTCTTCTCCAATCAATCATCTCTAAATTACATGTTATTTTTGCTTTTAAGCAACTTGGTGAACTTGACTTTTTCTTGGGTATTGAGGTCAAACATCTTCCTGACAGTTCTCTCATTTTGTCTCAAACCAAATATATTCGAGATTTACTTCTTAAAGCTGGAATGGATGAGGCCAAGGGCATTTCTACTCCTCTTCAAGGTGGCTTGAAACTCACTAGATTTGGGTCTGATTATTTTGATGATCCTGCTCTTTATAGGTCTATTGTCGGTGCCTTGCAATATATTACTATTACTCGGCCTGAGATTGGCTACAAAGTTAATAAAGTCTGCCAATTTATGTCTCAGCCACTGACTAATCATTGGAAGGCCGTCAAACGTATATTGCGCTATCTTAAGGGTACCATCTCCTATGGTTTGCATCTTCATCCTACTTCCAGTTCTATCCAGTTGTGATGCAGATTGGGCATCTGACATTGATGATCAAAGGTCCACCTTTGGTGCTTGCATTTTCTTTGGCAAAAATTTGGTTTCTTGGTGGTCAAAGAAGCAAACTCTAGTTGCTTGCTCAAGTGCTGAAGCCAAATATCACACTCTAGCTATTACCGCTTCTGAAATTTTGTGGTTGCAGTCCCTTCTTAAAGAATTACTCATTTCTTGTGCTACACCTATCATTTACTGTGACAATCAAAGCACAGTTGCTCTCAGTCACAATCCTGTGTTACACACGAGAACCAAGCACATGGAGCTTGATATATTTTTTGTTCGTGAAAAAATGCTGAATTCTTCCTTAGTTGTTACTCATATTCCAGCCCAAGATCAAATTGCTGATATCTTGACCAAGCCACTTTCTCAAGCTCGTTTCTCTCTTCTGCGTTCCAAACTCAAAGTCATTGACTCCTTCAATAACTTTGGGTTTGCGGGGGACTATTAGCATATAATGTTTTCTGATTAAAATCCCTTTTGGTTAGATTATTATTGTTGACCATATTTTTTCTATTTTGATACGTTGATTGGGTTGTTAGCATTTTATATGCTGTATTTTTTATTTTATTATTTTAGGTGTTTTCCTTATATAATGGACACTATACAGAATGTTAAAGTAAGTAAAATAAGAATATCTTTATTCCTCTGTTTTTCTCTTTCTCTATCAGTAAATTAGGTTTATCAACACTTAATGATTAGGAATAAATGTTAACAATATAACTTTGGCAGCTATCACTTCTACTTTAGAGCAAGTTGTTTTTAGACTTGTTAAAATAGTCATTGGAGGGAGTCTTCAGTTATAGAGAAGAGACATTTTATTTTAATGTTGATGGCCATTACATGTTATCTCCTCACAACTGAATAATCAAATTCATAAGTAGGTTGTCTTAGAGACTTTTGGTATTTGGTCTGTGTATTAGGTAAAGTTTCCATATGGTGAAATATATGCTAGCTTTCTATGAGCAATTGCGTTGGCCGCAACTCTTTTTACATGTTATCCATTTTTTTCGGATCTTTAACCATTTTAATGGAGTAAATATGTAAAAATTATGGGTTAGTTCTTCTTCTTCGTTTCGCCCTCTTGGTTTCATTATTTCACTTATCCTTCTTCAGTCTTTGATCAATTAAGCTGTTGTGATGCACAGAGGTTCATAATTGGTCGTCACCTTGCAGAATTGAACCTTTAAACTTGTGATCATTCTTTGTATAATGTCTCTGCATCCTTGTTTAATGAATTTGGCATCTTCCATCCTTTTTGCTGACACACTTGGTGAAAACTTTAAAAGATTCATCTCAAAATGGATCTACTAGGAATGAGAAGAAATTATATTGACACATTCAACATAGTCATATATATAGATTGAAAATCAGAACTCATACCTTTAATGTAGTTATGAATTTTGAATTCATCATATTCTTATGGAATGTATTTCTATCATGATTTTGTAGCTGGTGGATGCTTTTGTATGCTACTGATATTACTGGCATCTTTGCACCCATATACTTCAGTCTTCAAGTACATTTGTTTTAAAATGCTGGTATTGGCTTAATGGTTATGCTTTTGAAAATCTGTTTTTAAGGAACGGCTAGAATTCCTTCCTTATGTTATTTTAGCAACAGTATATTACTATATCTCAAGATATTCGGCTTGGAAATATTTTTTCCTCATAAAATGCTCTCCATTTTCAATTGGAAATGTACATATTTGTTCATATTAAAGATCTCAACTATTCAAGATTCAATCTTCCTGCTAGCCATGGATACTCTACGGGGTTTCTCCCACCCAACCCACCCATTTGCTGTATAAATTTTGTCATTGAACTGTAATCATAGATCCCAAACTCAAACTCCTGTTCAATGCTTGCTATTAACTAAATGAGTCATTTTCTTGTGAAAGCCTTAATGTGTACCTATATTACTGTTTCTTGATATTTATTAGGAGTTGGGCTAGTACTGATGAATAGATCGTAGTGTATGTAGTAAGCCTGTCAGCCTCAATAGACTAGGTATATATATAAATACTTAAATATATAAATTATGTGTTATTTACACTTTTATCATGTTTATATATTGATGTCCCTTGCCATTTTCATCTATCATAGGTGCTAGCCGTTTAGTCAATCATCTACATGCCAAAGGAGTTCCAATCTCCGTGGCAACTGGGTACACTTCGACCATATTTTTGTTTGTTTGATTTTATTTTAAACGTTATTTACCTTTTATTTTTATTTTTGTGGAAGGAGGGGTTAAAAAAAAGAGACTTAATATTTCCTGCCTCACATCTGTTTTGAAGGATTTGTTATGCAAAGTTGTTGACAATTTGCCTCACAGTTCTCACAGGCGACATTTTGAATTGAAAACTCAAAGACATCGTGAAATCTTCTCTTTGATGCATCATATTGTCCTTGGTGATGACCCAGAAGTTAAACAAGGTAAACCTTCTCCGGATGGATTTCTTGCAGCAGCCAAGAGATTTGAGGTAAGCCAATTTATGAATGTGGTGCACTTCTTTTCCAAATTGTCCGCAGATTAAAAGATTACAGATGCCTTTTTCTTTTCCTACTTTGAATTTGGAATTGGATTTGTTTTACTGTTGTATTTTTTACTTTGTCAAGTTTGTAATCATACATTGTGTTATTGTAGTTAATTATGATGAAATTATTTTCAACAGGGTGGACCGATTGATCCTTGTAACGTTCTTGTTTTTGAAGATGCACCCTCAGGAGTTCTTGCAGCTAAGAATGCTGGAATGTAAGTGGATTAAAGCATTGGATGATATTTTATGTTTTCATATTTTTAAATTTAAAATGCAACAGAATGTGGTTTCCAAAATATGTCAACATATGATAGAACGGATATATAATTTTGTGCTAGATTTAGCAGTTTCACGTCCTGCATTATTACTTGCACGGTATGTAGTGACAAATATCTGCATATATATATATATATATATATATATATATATATATATATATATATATATATATATATATATATATATATATATATATATATATATATATATATATAATATGATCTGGATTTTAAGAAATCTGTGCTTTTTAAGTTTTTATACTCAAAACAAATTCTTCAATCTAACAATTGACAGAGTGCATCTTTCTATTGTTTATATCTTAAGTAGGCTCTTTCCATTCTTTCTCTCCCTCTCGTATGTAGAGTACGGGATTCTGCAAATATAATATCTTTAGTACGTGTATGTTTGAGTTGTAAAAATCTTGACATATGAATAACGGAAGCTGCATAACAGATTCCACTGTTTTGTGTGTTCTTGCACTAGCTAAGTTTAAATGTTTAATTAAATGCGAGTGGCAGTTGATAATGTTTTTCAAGCCGGATAGTCAGTGAAATATGATTGCTTATCACAATTTTCCTGTTAACAAAATGAATATTCTATAATGTCTGCAACCTCTAAGTTTGTTTTTATCCGTAAATTTAACATTTACTGGATTATAGACTATGGTTAGCCTCAAAGTTTCAATGGTGATTGATTCCCCCCCCAAAATCTCCCGCACTGTTTAGTTCACCGATAGATAGAAATTAGCCTAGAGATGTTAGAAAACTCAAAACTGGAGCTACTTCACAACTTAGTTTTGGATCTTAGTTTTTCTCACAGTAACAGAGAGCTATCAGTCTGACTTCTTGTTGAGCAAGTAAATAATATGATTTGAGTAAAATCATTAAGTGACCAGACTCTACAGTGTGGTCCATTTAGTGTGGTCCCTCATCACCAAGTCATGATGATGTCTACACGTTCCTATTTCTTATGATTCATTTCTTACCAAGTAGTGGCATGTTATGTTGATTAAACATTATTACAATGTGCAATTAGAATGTTATCTTCAATTTGTTAATATTTTCTTGTTACGTATCATGCAGGTCTGTTGTTATGGTCCCTGATCCAAGGCTGGACAAATCTTTTCATGATGCAGCCGACCAAGTTTTGAACTCACTGTTGGATTTCAACCCTAGTGAGTGGGGTTTACCTCCTTTTAAAGATAATGGAAGCTGAACTTGGGTTTCTCTTACTGCCCCCACATTTTTACTGTGGACCGAAAAGGCTGCATATGTTTTGTACATCTAATTGATGAGTTATTAATCCATTTTCATAGATTATTTAACCTTATGATTATTATTTTTTTGAATGTTTTATGTTATTGTTCTGGTTGAATTACTACAATCAATTTCAATTTGTGAGATCTTGAAAGTTATTTTATCATTATCATATTTCTCTCGTGGCATGAAACGTAAAACGTGATTGATTCGGTTTATTTAAACCGAATACTTGTCCGTTTGTTTCACAATCAAAATCAATTTGAACGTGACTTTATTTTGAAGCAGTTAAGCACAGTTAAATTAACTAACAGGTTCATTTACTTGAACTATCAAACTAATTAATATTTATGAAGAAATATTTCACAGGTCATAAATGTTCACGTACATTTTGTATAATTTGATGTGAATCGTCCTCATCACCTCATAATGAATTATGCTAATATGTTAGTTTGATCGATTATGACAGGACATGATCGACAATAGTGCCTGTACAAGTTGAAAACAAAATTTCAATTGTATATGCAAAAAGTAAAATGATATTTTCAATGACTTTTTATCAATAAACGACCCTGTAATATTATTTTTATTCTTTTTTTTAAATAATTCAAATTTTAATTTATTTTTTGTACTTACAGAGGAGTCAATTATAACACGTAATTTGTAATTAAATAACAGTAATTTCTTTTAACAATGTCATTGCATAACTCCTTTCTTCATTTTAAATTATAAATGCCATTAATCTGAAATCTGAGATTTGGCATGGTTGTGTGTATTTTGTTGAGTTTTCACTTCGTCATTATTGACTTGTTGACAGTGGTCCGTTTACATTTATATGTTTGTGGTCCATATGGATTTAATTTGAGGAAGGTTGAACCCGCCATTAAATTCGAAGCTAATTTAGAGGCTCCATATTTAAAATGGTGGTTCTATTACTAGTAACTGGAAACAACTACCAGTTACCAAAACTTGAAACAGTTAAACACGAACAACATCTCTAGTTGTTATCACGTACTTACTACGTCAAAGGGAAACATGAGGAGAATATTTGTTAATACCAGAAACTATAATTGCACAGATAAAACAGTTATACCCACGTACTTTTTTTGTTTATTTAGTTTTATTTTTTTCATTTTTAAAATTAATTTTAAAGAATTATTTTTCACTACAAGTTAAAATAATTCATAACTTTAGTTTAAATCTGTTTTAGAAAAAAATAATAATTCTTACAACCATCAATAATCGTGACTAAAGTAAAAACAAAAATTTAATGATAAAAATAATAATATTATTAATATACACAACTAATAAAATTAAAAATATATTTTTATCAATTTTTTTAAAAATTAAAATTATAAATTATTTTTAAAAACTATTTAACAAAATAATTATTTTAGACTTTAAAATTGTTATTTTAAAAACAATACAAAAATAAGTAAAAAAAAATACAAAACAATGATTTAACTCACTGAAAAACAATAAGACATCCATTTTATATTAATATTACTTGTACTCAATCTGTTGATATATCATAAAATCGATTTTTTTACGAGTGACGATGTTATTAACAAACCTACATAACCCACCAGATAATATAAATGTGGGAGAGCCACGACACTATTAATTTGAATTTCTTCTAATAGCATCATCCACTTATTTATCATAGAACAATAATCATAATTAACTTAAAATTTAGATGCACGTGAATAGGTGAGTACTCACGAAACTAACTTGTTGGTAGAACAATTTATATGATATAAAAAGTAAAAAAAAAAGTTTTATATATATAAAGTTACACCATCAATCTCCTTTATTAATATATATTAAAAAATAAAAATAAGAATTTGTCTAGGAATGTGAGTGTTATGTGTCTCAACCTATATCAAATGGATGTTAAGAACGCTTTTCTCAATGAATTTATCAAAAAAGAAGTATATGTCAAATAACCTCTTGGATTCATAGATTTTGAATTTCTTATTAAAAACAACTTTAATAGAGATAAGATAGATTCAACCTTATTCATTTAAAAAGCTGGTAAGAATTTGTTATTTATACAAATATATGTGGATGACATTATATTTGAATCTACTAATTATGTTATGGGTAAAAAATTCTCAATTAACGTACAACAGGGATTTGAAAATGTCAACGATGGGTGAACTTACTTTCTTTCTTGAATCCAACTACTGTGTTGAATTATTGAAGAAATACTCAATGGAAAACGGTAAGAATCCACAACCACAATGACTACAAACTGTTATTTAGACAATGGTGTAAATGATAAGTTGGTTAATCAAACTATATATTGAGGTATGATTGAATCACTCCTATACTTAATATCTAGTCGTCTTGATATTATGCATAGTATTTATGTTTGTGAACAATTTCAATATGCTCCGAAGGAATCTCACTAAAGTGTTGTTAAAAGGATTTTGAAATACTTAAAAAATATAATAAATCTTGGTATGTGGTATCCTAAAGGAACTAAACTGGTTTTAACACGTTATAGTGATTCAAATTTTGGGAGATGCAAAATAAATAGGAAAAGTACTAATGGAGCCTGTCATTCTAAGAAACAAGCATGTGTTGCATTATCCACTACTGAAGTCGAATACATAGCTGCAAGTAGTTGTTGTGCTTAATCAATTTGGATTAAGAATCAATTAGAAGACTATGGTATATATTTAGAACATATTAATTTGAAATGTGATAACACTAATATTATAAATCTAACCAAGAATCCAATTATGCATTCTAGAACAAAACATATAGAAATTAGACATCATTTTATCAAGGATCATGTAATCAAAGGGGATTGTAAAATTGAATACATTAACATAAATCAATAATTAGCATATATTTTTATTAAATCATTGCCTAGGGAAAGATTTTATACTATTAGAAATGAATTAGGCATACTACATATAAATTGCTTTGATTAAAATTTGGTCTGTATAAAATCTGATAAAAATAATCGATTAATATTTGACATAATTGATTAGACCACTTCCAAGATGTTAAAATAATCGATTAATAATAAAAATAATCGATTAAATTGGGACTTTCAAAATTTTACAAGATGCGTTGATAATCGATTATCAGCTTATATAATCGATTAAAATAACCTTCTGACTCTAGTGTTTGCGTCATTAATCGATTATCCACTTATATAATCGATTATCATATGTACAAAATTATTTCAATTAAATCCTCTGCAAACTACACTTTCCCAACTTCATCTACACACTCTCTCATCTTCCTTTAAGCCTCTCTTTTGAAACCCTAGCCTCTATTGCTTCTCTTGTTGGTCATTTTATTCCAAATCTTCTTCTTATTACTCTGATAAATGGCTTCTACTGCAAAACCAAAAATAATGAAGAGAATAGTTTTCAAAAGACCTCTAAGAACTACTTCTGCAGAAGGATGGGTCAGTGATGATGAATAGAGGGAGGAGTTTCTCATTCACTGGAAGGAAAGAAGACTAATTACTCATAAGTATCTTTCTGTCTCATTTTTATAAATAATGATTTTCTGTTTCAAGATTTGTTAGTATATCAAGGCCTAGAAAAATTCATTGAGATGAATGAGATGTTTTATCCTGACTTGGTCAAAGTTTGTTATTGCAATTTAAAAACTGCCATTGGAGTTATTCAATCTAGAGTTAAAGGGGTAGAAATAGTCCTAGATAAAGAAATATGGATAAATGTTGCAGGTTTTAGAATAGAAGAAGAAAATGTTATTGGTGGCTTCGAAAACTTTAATAAGCTAGTTGTGTTTAGATCTTGTCTTAGGAACCCAAACACTGTCAGAAATTATTTCATTTATAAAACTAGTGGAATGAAGAAAGATGAAAGATTGTTAGCTTTTATAATTACTTGAGTCCTTGTTGCTAAGGGGAAGATGTTGGAAAATTAATAATAATAATCCTGATTTTGATTCTAACGATCAAACATAAACGTAATCTCATATTGATAAACATGTTGTAAACTGAATGCGAAAGCGTTCTTGAATTAGTCATAACGATGATGTCTTTGTAGAGCACTATATTGATCTTATGGTCTTCCACCTGAAGAGCACCTGTATTTCCCTCTTGATTTTCTCTCTTGATGGGGATAAAAAGAAAGGAACGACACTGATACTTACGTTCTGTGTGTATGCTCCCAGAAGGGGACCATGACCCTTTAGATAACCAGAATTAGGTTAATTACTTAAGTTTTAGTATTTCCAATTTGGCCCCTCATCAAATTAGAAATTACTCTATGGTCTGTACACAATTTTATTTTCATGACATATGTCTTTAGCCAAAACTTTAATTTAGTCAGATCACGTTATTATTTGGTTTAATAAATAATGGCTCTAACACATTTAAATTATGTATCATATATATATATGACCCAAATTTTGCCAACAATCTCCCACTGGTCACAAATATATATGTCCTTACAACCTTACAAATGTGTTAGACTTTATGAGCTCAAAATTGTCATTATATTCCTTTAGCATACTCAAAAAGTCCTGTCCATTAATCATATCAGGATATAGAACCAAACCAGTTTTTCATTGTATCATCACAATTAAAACCAACAATGATTACTCATCCTAACATAACCAAATGACATGGATTCATCATGAAATGTGTAGCATGAAAAATTACGTGAAGGTGATCTGTACACGTCTATTTTCAATTGGTCCAAACTTTAACTTATTGAGATCGATATAATATCCTTAATGTACAAAGTGTAATGAATGAATGAAAAAAACGCATATCTATAGATAACCAAATATGTCCAAAAATCAATGTATACATATATAAAATTAAACATAGAACATAAAATATATGAAAGTGACTAACTCTCACTAAACCACAAATTCCTCAAACTGTAAAACACCCATGTGAGCAACATGCTCATGAAAGACCTTGGGCGGAAGTCATTTAGTTAAAGGATATGCTATCATGGA